GTGGCGCGAAGCGCCTCGCCTGCCAGTCCCTTCGCTCCCCTTTCCTCCCACATCTCTCCTCCCCTACAACTGGCCCCCTCCCGCGTTCCCCCCCTTCTTCCCGTCCTCCGAGCCCTTCGCTAGCCACGGGTACGCCAGCACATGGCCTGTACGCGACCAGAGCTTGTTGTGGCTGAGTGCCGCTTCTGCTGCCAAGCTCAGCCAGCACAGTGCCCCACCCCCACGTGTATTTGTGTATAGATACACATACTGTACATACATTCCTCCTCTTCCTGCTTCCTCTTCCTCCTCTTCCAGTCTCGTCTCTCTCTCTCTCTCTCTCTCTTCCTCCGCCTCATTTTGCTCTTCTTTTTCTCTTCTTCTCCCTCCCTCTCATATTCCTCCTTGTCCTCCCCATCCCTCCTATCTTCCCCTCTCCTCCCCCTCCCTCATCCCTCATACCTCTTTCTCCTCCTCCTCCTCCTCCTCCTCCTCCTCCTCCTCCTCCTCCTCCTCCTCCTCCTCCTCCTCCTCCTCCTCTCCCATCCTCTCCCTTCCCACCCTTGTCCTCCTCTTCTTCATCCTCTCTCTTTCTATCTCCCTCCTGTCTCCCTCCTGTCTCTGTTGTAGATGCTCCTTCTTCCTCATCTGTCATCGTATTTCCTCATTGCGTCTTCACTCCTCCTGATTATCCTTCCTTCCTCGTGCCACCTTCTTCTCCTCCTGCGCCCCTCCGTCCTCCCCGCGCAATCAGCAAGGTCGAGTCGCGCCGCCGGTCCTGGCCCACCACGGTCCATCGTGACACGCAGACCAGCGTCCCCATTTCCAAGCACTAGCGTCTCGAGCTCGTCCCCGCTTCCCATCCCCGTCTCGGAGCGGAGCGGCACGCTGTCCGCTTGCAGGCAGGGCACAGCGTGTCGCTGGGGCTGCGCCGTGACACGCTGAGCAAAAGTTACCGACCATGGGTGTAGCACTTGCCCACGCACGCCTGACCCCCTCTTTTTCCGACCTCCCACTGCAGTCAGCCCGCAAAGTAAGGATGGGCAACCTTCCCAAGGGTACCCTTGCATCCTTGCCCCTTCGGCCCATCCGCAGTGACTTTCGCTGGCCGACCTCGTTCGAGCAACGTTCACCTGGGCCTCTCCAAGGCCTTGGCATCCTGACCGCGCATCCTTATGATACGGGTTGACTGTGCCCTCCTCCGCTCCTTCCTCCTCTCGGGGGAGGGGGGGGGAGGCTGCCGTGTGCAGCCCGCTTCGGCCCCATCCGCCGGGCGCCTTTCTTTTCTGAGCAGGAGCTCCTGACCATATGGGTACAGCACGTGTCCGCGCACGCCTGACCCCCTCGTTGCCGACCTCCCCCCCCCTCTCATGTGGAAGAGTAGAAGAGACGATACAAAAGAAGCTACAATGTGATGGTGCTCCTTTTGTTCCTCGCCCCGTGTACTGAATCTGTTTATCTCAGGTGCATTCACCAACCCACACGTGTGTGCGCCCTCCTGTTAGGGCTTGAGCACCAGCCTAAACCAGTGAACAACAACCTGCCCTCCTCCGCTCCTTCCTCATCTCGGGGGAGGGGAGGGGGAGGGGGGGAGGGGAAGCTGCCGCTGTGCAGCCCGTGGCGGCCTTGTTTTCCTCGCTCCGCGGGCGCGGCGCGGACCCCCCTGGGTTGTGCAGGCGGGGCGCTCTGGTGGTCGGGGCCCGCTCCGGAGGTCTGACGGGGGGAGAGCCCCTGCCAAGGAAGCTCCCTGCCTGCCTCCAGGGTGCCCTGGGTGTCTCGGGCTTCGAGGGTCCTGCCACGGAGAGCACGACGTCCCCACGCCACTCCGGAGGTCTGACTGGGGGGGCCCGCTCCGGAGGTCTATCTGGGGGGGGCCATGCCAAGAAGCTCCCTGGTTGCCTCCAGGGTGCCCTGGGTGTCTCGGGCTTCGAGGGTCCTGCCAGGGAGGGCGTGACGTCCCCACGCCAAGAGTCGATGGACGCCCTGGGGTCTCAGGGTTGGGCCTCTCGTGAGAGGGTTCTCGTACATCTGATGCTCCACACTTTGTCTGATTTTGTTTCAGCGGATTGCACCTTACGTGCGAGTTCAACTCTTCGGGGGGCCCAGGTCCAAGACATATTTAAAAGCACAATCACGTATTTAAGATAAGCACGCCTCATTACAATATCAATGTGGCTAAGTTTTTACACATGTTGATGGTCTGGGGTGGTCGGGCCCCCACTGCAAGGCCCAGAGTCGGGTTCGTGGCCGCGGCTCGCTGTGGCCAGAAGCGCCCTCTCGCCCTCTGTGCGCAGCGATCCGGCCTCGGTGGCAGCGCGGGGGTCGTGGCCTCCACGGCCCCCCGGCGGCCCTCAAGGCATCCTGGCGCGGTGTTCTGGGTTGTGCGCGGCGGGGCCCTCTCGGCCGCACTCCCGCGAGGCCCGCTGTTGTGGGGCACGTGCGCGGACGAGGGGGGGATCACGGGACGCATTTGACAGAAGCAGAATCATAATAATGGTACGAATAATAATAAGAAGAATAATAGTGATAATAGTACGAATAACAATAAGAATGATAATAATACGAAGTTTCATAATAATAATAGTAATAATAATAATGATGCTAATAATACTACTATAATAATACTACTAATAATAATAATAAAAATACTAATAATAATAATGATAATAATAATAATAAGAATAATAATAATAATAATAATAATGGTAATATTACGAATGCTAATAATAGTAGTAATAATAGTACAAATAATAGTGAGGATGAGAATAGTATCCATAAACATAAGAACCATGAGAACAAGACAAATAATACGAAGACGAACAAGACGACTGGGGGACCATGAAATCTGGTGAGATATCATGGCCCCAGCCCTGATACCCGCACACAACCCTGGTCATCATCCCCCTCTTTGGTGGCCGCCCCCGAGGATCGCCTAAGTACACTCCGAGGGGCACGCCGGTCGTTGAACATAGATCTGTGCTGATGCCCAAATCCTAATCCTGCCTCAGGCTTAGAAAACCCAGGGTTCGCCAGAGACTGGTCCCCCCCACACAACGACGACCACCCTTCCACAACCCCCCCAAAAATCCTCCGAAAAGCCTCCCCTCCCAAAGTCCTCCGAAAAGCCTCCCTTGACCCTTCCCGGAGGGCCTTCGGAGGCTCTCGGGATGGCTTCGGCGGTTTTGACAGGATTGCCAGTCCCCAAGCGAACCCTGGACGTTCTCTGACCTTGGGCGCCCTCCCGCTTCGGGAGTCGAGCGGTGGCCCCCCTCTCCTTCCCCGGCCGAGGGGCAGCCCTGGGCAAAAGCCTGCCCTCGGGTGCGCGCCGCTCTCGGGGGGCAGGGCCCTCGGGTGCCAGCCTCGAACGTATCCCTATCCCTAAGATGGACACGCCAAAAGGCGATGACTATCTTAGGGATCCGCCCTCAAAAAGTAAGGGAAGCCCTAAGCTTGGCATCGTGATGAGGAGGTGCCCAGCATAGGGATAGGGGTATGTTCCAGGCTGGTAACCCGGTGCCCGAGCGCGGCCCCCCAGGGAGGCCGAGACGGCGTGGGCCCCCTGCCGGTGCCCGAGCGCGGGCCCCCCGTGGAGGCCGAGCGGGCGTGGGCCTCGCCCGCCGGCGGCGGCCCGGGCGCCCCGCGGGGGGCCCGCTGGCTCCGCGGGCCGCGCAGCGGGTCGGAGGGCTTCTCGGGTGCCGTCGGCAGCGCGGTGATTCGGTGGCCGGCCACGGGAGCCTCCCATGCCATTGGCCCGCCTTCCGAGCACAGTATATGACTACCACCACCAAGGTCGAGAATAATCAACGATGCGATGTGGTGCAGTTTTGCTCTGGTGACAAGCCCGCAGTCCCCCTCCCGCCAGCCCGCGGAGCATGAGCAGGCGCGCCTGCTCATGCTCCGCGGGCTGCGCAGCGGGTCGGAGGGCTTCTCGGGGTGCCGTCGGCAGCGCGGTGCTTCGGTGGCCGACCGCGGGGGCCTCCCATGCCATCGGCGTCACCCCAACATGCCATCGGCGTCACCCCAACCCCTCGCCTGCCGGCGGCGGCCTGGGCGCCCCGCGGGGGGCCCGCCTGCTCATGCTCCGCGGGCTGCGCGGCGGGTCGGAGGGCTTCTCGGGGTGCCGTCGGCAGCGCGGTGCTTCGGTGGCCGACCGCAGAGGGCCTCCCCATGCCATCGGCGTCACCCCAACACACTGGACTGATGCGATGTGTGCCTGGCCCTCCATGGGGGCGACGCGCGCACCGAGAGATCTGACAGGATATGCGTCGCGGCGGGGGCTTTCTGGCCACACCGCTCGCGGAGCGATAGACTACAAGATGGGTATACTAGATGTTCGGGTCGGGCGCACGCCTTCAAGGAGGACACATAGTACTGGTATGTCTTTGTGCGTCCCATACCATCTTGCTGGCTCTGGCGAGTCGACGCTAATCGACGCGTGGGGGTCCCTGGCAGGCCCGCGCCGCATGTCCGCGGGTCTCAGCAGGTCGAAAAGGTTTCTCGGAGTTTCAGGCGGCAGCGTGATCAGTCTCAGAGGGAGGGGGGAAGGCTTCCCAGAAGCACTCTCGCTTCTCAGAAGGTGCGGCCTTCTCTGTAGATGTGAGGCCCGCGCCTTTCCGAGAAGCGGCCTCCTTCTAAGAAGCCCTCCACCGTGCCTGTACCCCCAATCAGCGCGCCACCAACGCTCGGTAGCAAGTCATGGGAGCCGTGCGTGTCCGCGTGACTCCTGTTTCAGAGCGCATTCGCATGCGATCCCAGACCTCCTCGCGTTGTGAAAAAAATGCGACGAGAGGTTTTTCACCATTTTCGGCCTCCGGGGGCCCTTCCCGGGCCTCGGGACGGTCAGAAAACGACTCAGGATGGAAAACCTGTCCCCGGGAAGGGGTCCAGACCTCTGGGGGTCGACGCAGGGAAAAGTCACGACGTCGGGGGCTTGGGATGGCGCCTGGGAGTCGATGGCAGCGTCGATGTGGCGTCGGCGTGCGCCGATGTAGCGTCGGTCAGTGCCGGTCAGCGTCGGCTCGCTGGAGTCAGCAACAGCCCAAAAACTAAATTAAAAAAAAAAAAAAAACTGTCGAGCAAAGATAAACAGAAAAAGCTCCTCGTCGATGTAGCGTCGCTTAGTGTCGGTCAGCGTCGGCTCGCGGGAGTGAGCAGAGGCAGTGTGGGGGGCCCCCACGAGCTGCCACCGAAGAGTCGTCACTGCCGCCTCGGAGCCACTCTCTGGGCGCCGCGGCTTTGCCGACTGTCGACGTCGAGCACCTCGCGTCCCATGAGCTCGGCCTGGTCTACAACCCTCGTCAAAATTGACCTCAAAAATGTTTGACATCAAAATTGACATCAAAATTGACGTCAAAATTGACATCAAAATTGACATCAAAATTGACATCAAAATTGACTACCCTCGTCAAAATTGACATCAAAATTGACGTCAACTGCTTGTCGGAAGAGCCGAGTATCGATGAGTGCGGGGTACTTGCATGCGCTGCCCCTCCAATGTCGGCCGACGTCAGACTTTCGAGTCAACTTCGGTCAGACGATCTTTTGCCCTCGCCCCGACATTGAAGGGGCGGCGCGTCGACATTGAGGGGCGCGCCGAAGTCGAAAATGACGTGCCAGCAACTTTTGAGGTTAATTTTGACGAGGGTAGTGGTCGGGTCCTGCCCGCCGCCTCCGCCTCCGCGGGCCTGCTGCCAGCACTGGGGAGAGAGCGGCGGAGGGCGGACGCCATGGCCGCGCGGGCCTGGGCACTGGCTCGAGCATCCGCGCAGGCTCGAGCCCGACGTCGGCCCAGGCCCGGGCCCCCGGAGTCGTGCCCTTCTCGCAGCGTCGGCCGCCGGAGGCTCACAGACCTGTTCCCCGAGGTCAGCTTTTCCTCCCGAGTGCCCCTTCGAGGGTCCCGCCGACGGTCCTGGGAGGCCCCCCCCCCCCCAGAGGCATCAACACTGCCTTCAAAAACCTTGCGTCGCGTTTTCTTCCGCAGACAGAGGAGGGCTGGGAAAAGAGAAAGAGAGAGAGAGAGAAAGGATGTGTGTGTGTGTGATATTCCCCCGCCTCCTCCCCAAGGAGTGCACGCCGATGGTCCCCACGGAGAGGGATGCTCTCTCGAGCACCATCCGGATGCTGGTGCCGGACCCCTCCCGCCGCAACCGGATCACCACGGCGAAGTACACGTGGTACACGCCCGGGCCTCACCGGCAGCCTCCCCCGTGCCCGCAGGGGTGCTCCCTTCGAGCCTCAGGTCGGGCATGTCTTCTTACAGGAGGGCAAGAATAATTAACAGTAGTCAGAAAATAATGAAACGTGGTCGTTAGTAGTTGGAAATCGTCCCCACAGTATGATGATGCTGAAGATGATGATGGTGATGATGATGATGATGCTGATGATGCTGATGATGCTGATGCTGATGCTGATGCTGATGCTGATGATGATGATGATTCATATTATTAGTAGTATTCTAATTAGTAGTATTAGTATTATTTTTTGGTATTAATATCATTAGTAGTATTATTTCTTAACATTAATATTATTATTCGTATTATGAGTATTATTATTATTATTAGTATGATCACTCGTAGTAGTAGTAATCTCATGATTATGAGTGTTATTCTTGCTATTATGAGTATTATTAGTATGGTTATTCCTCTTCGTCTTATTCTTTCCATTACAATTCTTAGATTCTGGAATCCTCCTCCTGCAGAGGGACTTGCCCGACTCAAATCCGGGCCCGTTCGGCTGCTCAGTCCGCGGCCGAGTGGGCTCAGACGCCGAGGACGGGCTCAGACGGGATTCCCTGGCAGTGGGAGCCTGGCCCGCTCGGTGGCCCTTGGCGGCGCCCGTCCAGATGCCCGCTTGGCGTGGGCCGAGAGGAGGAGGAGGAGGAGGAGGAGGAGGAGGAGGAGGAGGAGGAGGAGGAGGAGGAGGAGGAGGAGGAGGAGGAGGGAGGAGGAGGAGGAGGAGGAGGAGGAGGGAGAGGAGGAGAGGAGGAGAGGAGGAGGAGGAGGAGGAGGAGGAGGAGGAGGAGGAGAGGAGGAGAGTAGGAGGGGAGGAGGAAGAGGAGGGGGAGGAGGAGGAGGAGGAGGAGGAGGAGGGGGAGGAGGAGGAGGGAGGAGGAGGGGGGAGGAGCACGCGGCGGCGCCCGTGCCGAGCGCGCGGCGACTCCCACGTACCCGGCGCGCGGCGGCCCCCGTAGAACAGCGCGCGTGGCCCGCGGCGGCGGCGCCTTGCCCGGCGCACGGCGGCACCCCGCTGGAATGTCGGGGGCGGAAAAGAGGGGGGTGAAGACTAGGGGGGGGTGGATATCATGGCGTGGGCCATGATATCTCCCCAGATTTCATGGCGCCCCTTCTTATTACATTACGTCCCTGGCCTCCCCGCTGGGCCGCGCACATGCCGCCGGCCATGATTTGCACCCCCCCCTCTTTGACGCCCCCCTCTTTGCCGCTCCCGAAATGCAAGAGTCACTGCAGAAGACAGTGCATTACCCTCTGCTTATCAGGAGAATCCTAGAGCGGCGCGTAACAGTAGCATCATCTGGTCCACGCGTCAGCTCCGTAAGCTATGGGTCGACGCTCACGCGGCGATGCCCCGGAGTCAGTCCAACGCAAATCCGACGCAATTCCGACGTAGTCCGACGTGAACCCGACGTGGATCCGACGTGGATCCGACGTAAATCGGGTCTCAAGTTACCGCGCGAGGCCTCCAGGATTTTCCTCGTAACCCTGCTGGAGACAATCCAATGCACAGTGCACCTGCTGGGGGCAATCCAATACCCCCTGCCGGAAACAGCGGAAGGAAGCAGAGAGCACCAGTCAGGAGCAAAACGATGTTCCGTGCGGTGAGCAGTACAATACAACATTCCTTGCGGGAGAGAACGGTACTCCCTGATGGAGACAGTTGGTCTGTGCCCAGCGTATGCTCAGACATTTGTCAAGTCATGCGAATGGAGAGGTGGGTGAAGCTGAGCCACGCCCGGCCAGGAATGTTGAGCGGAGGTGGGCGACGCGAAGCTGAGCAGAGTAGTGCACATTTCGGACAGAACAGCCAGATCGGAGCTTATACACAACATTGGGAAACTTAAGGCCTATTAATCCGTGTGTGAGTGTGGTTGTGTGTGTGGTGGGGGGGAGGGGGGGGGGCGCTCGCTCGCAGTTTCTTGCCAGCTTTGCGCGCCGTCATGCTTGGATGGTCGATGGTTTCCTAAGTTACGCGCCTACTTGCGGGGGTTCGCTGACCGACTGCCTCACGCTTCGACCAGCCTCATCGGGAACGGCTTGCCTTGATTGCAGAGGAATGCATCGGGTTTCCACAGGAACGAGTTGGCAAATTGATTCGGGCACGGACAAGTACCATCAGGCGGAGTATCTGGTGGCATTCGGATCGTGGGCCAGGCGGCCCCTGGGATGCTTGCTGGAGCCTGTCTGGGGGCCTCTTGGGGGCCTCTTGGAGGCCTCTTCGGAGGCCTCCTTGGGCCTCCTCCGGGGCTTCCTGGGCACCAGTTGAGGGCCTCTGTGGGCCTCTTGGGCGCTTCACGGGGGGCTGGGGGCGGTTTGGGGAAGCATCTTGCCCCAGACGGCAATCCGAGCTTCCCCTCTTAGCCTCTCTGGGGGTCGGGCGCCTCTTGGGTTCCTCTTGGGGGCCCCTTTGGGGGGGCTCTCTTGGGCGGGGATTGACTTCCTCCAAGGGCCGTCGAGGGCGCTTCAAGTCAGAATCTGCACAACCATAGTTGCCTCGATACGCCCGTTTTGAACCGCAACACGTCCCGTGCTCAAGACGTCCGTGTCCATACGTTGCGTGTTGGCTCCACGTATTGGACCACGTTTCGGCGAATGTATCGCGTCGGACCTACGTTTTCAGCCTACACGCCAGTCGTTGAAAGTAGGTATTCTTGGATCCCCAGATCCCAATCTACTTCAAGCGCCTTCCTACTTCAAGGATCGGCACGCTCTTGCTGTGTTCTGTGATTCTCTGGGGGGGCCTGGACCCAGTCCACTTCGTCCGCCTTCCTCGTCTTCCGACCGACGTGTACGTGTTGAGCTCCGTACCAATACGATACAGTCAACGCGCATAGGAAGGACGCGCGGCCTTTTCTAAGGTAGCCATGCGTCCTTGCCACTGCGGTCCGTCCTTTGCCGTTTTCACTCGTCGCCCGTCGCCCCAAAAGTCCCAATTTCGGCCTCCAGGGGTCTTGCGTCCTTACCACCCATCCTTGAGATACCGCTTCGCTGTACGTGTTGCGTATTGCGCATCGGGGCAGCCGAGTGCACAACTCCTTGCCTTCAGTGAGACGGGCCTCTCGGGCCTGCCCCCCCGGGGGCAGCCCAAGAAGCCCCCAGGGAGAGAGCTCCAGCACGGACCCTTTGGGACCTCTCCAGGGCACGCCAGAGTTAGGTCGGGCCTGTCCCTCCTCTACAGGGGGAACATTAAAAAATAGTCCAAACATTGTGTGGGGACTATTGTTTGAGTATTGTTTGACCTTTTGGGGGTATTTTTAGGGCATTTTTTTATTTTTCGTCGAAAATCCCCCTGTAGGGGGACACGCCCGACAACGCTAGAAATTCCCCGCCACACCCCCAAGGCATCCTCAGAGGTTGCACGGGGATTCTAGGGAGCGCCTTGGATCGTCTGAGAATTCTCAGGATTCTCGTTTCTGCTGCCTTCGGAAGTCTCCAACGCAGAGAACTGTCTGAGGACACTCTACCTCATGCCTCGGGGCACGGTCGCGGGTACGGTGACACGGGCTATGATAACATCGATGACGAGGTACACTCCTCGCACTAGGGTGCGCCAGCCGGATCACCATGAGAAAAAGTAAATTCACAAATTGAAGTTGTAACCTTGTATGGGAGATTTGCCTTCAGCTACGCTGAAGCACGACAAGTGACGTGCGTTGTACGGTCGCCGTTATGATGTCTGAGCCTGATGAGAGTTTCGCAGTCGATTCGCGATAGGCCCTCCTTCTGGCAGCCAGACTACCAAGAGTTGTTTCACGTTGTTCTGTTGTGGTTGCATTGCGCCAAGGTTTGTGCCCAAGAACTTGTTTGAGCAGCTTACCCAGCTGGCAAACGCCTACTTCCTGCTCATCGCTCTGCTTCAGGTGGGGCATTGGCGGGCGTGCTCGGTAGCCGTAGCTCGGCCAGTCGGGGTACGTCGCAATCGTAGTAATAATTGCACTGACCCAGCAGGGCTCTCGCTCGAGACATCGTCGCAGAGTCGACCCAGGGCGCGCGACCCACCGCGGCCCCAGTGATCATGTACGGGGCGCGGACCGGGGCGCACCGGGCGTGTCCCACAGGGCTCTCGCTCGAGACATCCTCGCAAAGTCGATTCCCAGCGCGCGAGGAGGTCAGGCCCCACCGCGCGCGCCCCCGGGGTCACCACTTCCTGGGCGCGCGCCCGGCGGCCGCCGGGGCGCACCGGGCGTGTCCCAGCTGGGCTCCCGCTCGAGACATCCTCGCAAGACGCGCGAGGAGGTCAGGCGCCACCGCGCCCCCAGGGGCCATTTCTGGGGCGCCTGCCCAGGCGTCCTGGGCGTGCCCCAGCAGGGCTTTCGCTCGAGGCATCCTTGCAAAGTCGACCCCCGGCGCGCGAGGAGGTCAGGCCCCGCCGCGGCCCCAAGGACTATTCCTAGGGCGCGCGCCGGGGCGCACTGGGCGTGTCCCAGCAGGGCTCTCGGTCGAGACATCCTCGCAAAGTCACCCCTGTGGCGCGCGAGGAGGTCAGGCCTCGCGCCCCCAGACCTCTCGCCCAGAAGCGCACGCCCCGTCTTCTATATACAGAAACTCCCGATCAACCGTAGAACGGCTAGCTAGTATTTCCCCACTCCGAGCAGCTTGCCTCTGTAGGGGTCCTAGCAGGTTCATCTGGTTAGGTTAGGTTTGCCGCCGATTTCCGCCGCACGCCCTGCTGGCCGGGGGTGCCCGGGTGCCCGGGTGCCCGGGTGCCTGCATGGGTGCCTGGGTGCCCGGGTGCTCGGGTGCTTGGGTGCCCGTGTGCCCGGGTGCCTGGGCGCCCAGGTGCCCGGGTGCCAAGGTGCCCGGTAGCTCTACATAGCCCTATAGCCAAATAGCCTTATAGCCCTAATAGCCCTGTAGCCTTACAGCCTTATAGCCCTATAGCCCTATAGCCCTATAGCCCCATAACCCTATAGCCCAATAGCCCTATAGCCCTATGGCCCTGTAGCCCTGTAGCCCTATAGCCCCATAGCCTTCTAGCCCTATAGCCCCATAGCCCTAAAGCCCTAAGGAGATTATGATTGTTTTTTCTCCAGTATCATTGTACTCATAGTCGTAGTAGGTGCAGCAACAGTTGAAGTCGCGGTGGGGGTAGTAGTAGTGGCAGCTAGTATTCGTGAAAGGAGTCGGAGGTGAGGGGGTGAGATCGAAGTGGAACGGAGAGCCCCCCTACCGGGAAATCGATTTCGGTTTCGTGTTCGTGCGTGCCGTGCGGGCGAGGCGAAGCTGCGTGGGCGGGCGAGTCTCCTGTGGCTGAGGCGCGGCCGGACCAAATGATTCCCTTCCGGGCGGCCGGGGCCCCGCGGTGTCCCGCCGGTGTCCCGCTGGTGTCCCGTGTGGCTGAGGCGCGGCCGGACCAATTGATTCCCTTCCGGGCGGCCGGGGCCCCGCGGTGTCCCGCCGGTGTCCCGTCGGTGTCTGTGGCTGAGGCGCGGCCGGACCAAATGACCCCCTTCCGGGCAACCCGGGGCCAGCGGTGTCCCGCCGGTGTCCCGATTATGATGATGATATTGATAATGATGATGATGATGGTGATGATGATGATGGTGATGATGATGACGATGTTGATGTTTTATTTTGATGATCGATAGTGAGATCGCTAGTGGTATCGATTGTGAGATCGAACGTGAGATCGAATGTCAGATCGCTTGTGAGATCGATTGTGAGATCGATTGTGAGACCGAATGTGAGATCGATAATGGGTTCGATAGTGAGATCGATTGTGAGACCGAATGGGATATCGATTGTGAGATCGGTTGTGATATCGATAGTGAAATCGATAGTGAGACCGAATGTGAGATCGATTGTGGCATCTATTGTGAGATCGATAGTCAGATCGATTGTGAGATCGATCGATTGAGTTAGTAGTGAGATCACTATCGGTAATGGGATCGATAGTGATTTCGATCGTGAGATCGATAGTGAGTCCGAATGTGGGATCGATTGTGAGTTCGGTTGTGGTATCGACAGTGAGATCGATACTGAGTTCGATCGAGAGATCAAAGTGAGTTCGATAGAGAGATCGATAGTGACGCCGAATATGAGATCGATTGTGATAACGTTAGGATATCGATAGTGAGATCGATAGTGAGACCGAATGTGAGATCGATAATGAGATCGGTAGTGCGTTTGATAGTGAGATCGATAGTCAGATCGAATGCGAGATCGATTGTGATATCGATTGTGAGATTAATAGCGAGACCGAATGTGAGATCGATTGTGGGATTGAGATTGATTGTGAGATGGATAGTCAAATTGATTGTGAGATCTATCTATTGAGATCGATTGTGA